GTATTTATCGTGGTGTTTCTTTTTTTGTAAACTTATCTCATGTTTCACTTGTTCTCCAAGACGTGAACAAACTGATAGCATGTTTATATTTAATCGACAAGTTGTGTAAACAAACGAGTATCTCTTTCGGATTGTTACCGATATCGTTACTTCATTACATCGCGGAAGAACACGGTTCATTCGCTGACGAGCGGAGCAGAAAAAATCCGAGCAAAATTAACTGCGCGTATGATCGCGATCCATTAATAAAATTCTGTCAATTAGCGGGCGCTACGGAGTCCGAAGCACGTGCCAGAGTGAAACGGTAAAGCATTTAGAAGCGAGGCATAAAATGAGAGAGAGAGAGAGAGAGAGAGAAAGGCTCGACTGAATGATCCATAATACGAGATCGTAAAAATCTGATAGACACATCTTACGTATCTGGCAGGTGTTCCTACTCCATCTATATTTTCTTTTTCTATCCCCGACGTCTGATGTCGAACGGTAAAAATGCGAGCAGGTCGATTTGCCCGGGAGATCGATTTCTTCGGCTTCTAAAATCTTCGCCGTAGCCGCGGGCCGAAGACACATTTATCACAACGCGATTGATGCCTTGATTTATCGAGTCCCGTTGCGTTCCCTCTCTTTGCCTTTCTCCCTTTTTTCACTCTCTCTTTCTCTCCCTATCTCTGCCTGCCTCTTTCGCGCGGCTCTACGATCGGCAAAGATTCACGATGACGTCGATCGAGAAAGGAGAGATAAAGAGAGGGAGGGAGAGAGAGAGAGAGAGAGAGAAGGAGATCCTTTCACTAATATTTCCAAATAGCGTCGTTTTCATAGCGACCTTATAACGCTTCTCTATTCTTCTCGACTTAGCGTAATCTGGTTCTATCGCGAGCGATAGAAAGAAAGTCCATCACGATGGATTTTTGATTTATGAAGCACAAGCGATGAGACTCGCTTGTCAACCGATCGAAGTTACACGATACGTATCTCTAATAATCGGTTGTGTCTATCTAGAGATGCCACGGATTGGTATATTCAATTACTTTTGACTGACGTTTTGAGTGTCGTAATCGGACGTGACCTTAAAATTTTTTTCAACTCCGCACATCTACGTTGCTCAACAGCACATTTTTCGTTTTTTTTTTGCTATTGTCCTGTCAACTTTAAATTTTACTGTTGCTTAAGAGATTAGTATACCCGTGTTTTACCATATAATATTCTCTCTAAATATATTAACTGTAGGTCAAAACAAAGGAAAAGAACTTATCATGATAAAAATTTTCGCGAAGACTTTTTATTAATTGCTCACAGTATGCAAGTGATTCGGATATGCATGCGAAAATAATTATCTTTTTGGAACTGTCTTCGGTCTTAATCATATAATAATTATTCGTTTCAAAACTGTCTTCGATTTACCTATTTGCTAGTACAGCAAAACGATCCTACTTAAAATCTTCACGTGATTCAATTATTTATTAACACGTTAGGCGTTTTTATTTTATTGTATGTATGTAAAAACAAATATTAATATTGATACAAAATGTATGTGTGCCCGAATGATCAAAATCAAACCTGTTCGTTATGTTCGAGTTTAAAAATTTGCTTACAAAAAATTATTAAACATGTAAGTTATATAATTTTTCTCGTACGTTATATTCTATGAAATTACTTTTCCGTTGATATAAAAAAACATTTCCAATTTAATAAACAAAAAGATATAATTCTCTTAAAATTTGTCAGTTAAATTAAACGCGCTAAAATTACACTCTATGAATTTAACATGGAATTGAACATGGAATTATTATTCCATGTTTCAGATTATCCCAAGCGGAGAGCAGGAGCAAGGCCGAGTGATAGCGGCAGTGTGATGAGCGGATACCTCGGTAGCATCACCCTGCCCCCGACGTTGCTGCACGACCCGAAGTATCCTCCAGCCATGCGGGAGAAGGATTCGAGTCCGAGAAAAATGCCGGGCCACATAAGCCCAAAGCAAGCCAGCATTTATCCCCTGAGCGTCCGCGTGCCGGACGTTGAGGAGCTGCCATACGATCTCAGCCACGGCCACGGCCGCGGCCTGTCGAGCCCAACGAATCAGCAGCAGCAGCCGCACATGAGCCCCGCGGCCAGACCGCCCCAGCCGAATCATCAGGACGAGCTCGACTGCGAGCCGCTCGATCTCCGCGTCGATCATAAGAAGGAGCGGCTCCGGGATGAGAACCAGAACGAGATCGAAGTGTTGAATCAGAACAGCCTGGGCGGCGGTCTGCCCTATCACACGGTGCTCTTCCCTCAGCATCACGCGATGCACCCGCTGGTTCTGGAGGCGATGTACAGATCACATCATCACAGCTCGCCGGTGCCCGATCTGCCAAAGATCCAAGTCAGAGCGCTTCCCACGATGGTGCCTCTGCCGCCCAACAGATTCTCCTCGACCTCGTCGTCCACGTCCTCCTCGTCCTCGCAGCCGACCGCGAGAGCCGTCAGTCCGGCCGTTGGTCAACAGTCGCAGCATCAGCAGAATCATCCCTCGCAACAGCAGCAACCGCAGCAGCAGCAGCAGCAGCAACAGCAGCCGCAACAACAGAGCTCGAGTCTGCCGCCCTACTCGATCAGCGTGCAGGCCGGTCTCAAGCCCAAGGACAGATACTCCTGCAAATTCTGCGGCAAGGTCTTTCCGAGATCGGCGAACCTGACGCGACACCTGCGGACGCACACCGGCGAGCAGCCGTACAAGTGCAAGTACTGCGAGAGGAGCTTCAGCATCTCCAGCAACCTCCAACGTCACGTCAGAAACATCCATAACAAGGAGAAGCCGTTCAAGTGTCCGCTCTGCGAGAGATGCTTCGGCCAGCAGACCAATCTGGATCGTCATCTGAAGAAGCACGATGCGGACGGGCCGACGATACTGGACGAGGTCAGATCGAAGTATCACGGCCAACTTCCGCGGGCCGACGATTCCTACTTCGAAGAGATCCGCAGCTTCATGGGAAAGATCACCTCGCAACGGCAGGGTATACCGTACTTCCCCGGCCTGCTGGGCCACGCAACCGATGACTTCAGGAACGACAAGCAACAGCTGCAGCTGGAGGAGAAGCGAGGTGACTCGTCGTACTTCAGCGACCGGGACAATCTCAGTTCAAGGTCGAGCAGTACGGCTAGCAGACCGGAGAGCGTCCAGGAGGAACAAAGGGAAGTCAACTCGCCGCCACTCTCTCCCGGCAATAACACCTGAGTCCTGGGGCGCGGCCATAAGCATGGTAATCCAGTTCAGAAAGGTTTTCGTCGGTTCGTCAGAGCGCGGTGGAGTCAGAGAACAAGAGAAAATCCGATATTTCGAGCGATCGGGATCGACTAAGAGTTTGAAAAAATTGAACTTTCAACAAGATTTCACAACGGTATCGCTGTGAAGAACTGTTTTATTTGAGATGATCTTAAATTAATTCGAAGCTATTCACGAAGATAATCATTCCTCGTAGAAATTCCTATAGGTCGAAACGTAATAAAGATAAACCGACAAGATCTGTGAAAAAAAAGAAAGTGATCTATATTCGTAAAGATAAATCCTAAAAATCGGCGATGTATAATTCCTTGCTCAAGATGGCGAGCAGCAGTCGAATCAGTTTTATTATTCTATAGGTTTTAATAATTACAGACTTTGAAACAAATTCGCATAACGTTACAACTAAAGGATTAACAATCCTTGAATCCGTAGATTTAATTCGCTTTGAAAGAAACTAAAAATTAAAATGTGGTGCCTTGAAGAGAAACATGTGCCTAACTTCTAGGACGTATCGTCCTTCGGTCCTGAAGAATAGATCCAACCGGGTCGATATAAAGAGCCTTAATAATAAAGTTAGATAAACAATTAACTTACACTAAATATCGTACAATATTAGAATCTTAGACTTAAACGCGTGCTTGAGTGAGCCGGAAAGTCATATAGAAAAATAGGCGGAGTTGATAATAATCGTAATTTATAGATCGATTTGTGAAAAAAATTAAGAAAATATCTAATATAGACTTTCATTTTGCAAGAGAAGATATAAATATGTTTCTTACACTTCGGTCTGTAAAAATTTAATATTTAATTTTATTAATTATTACTATATATTTTCAATTTTATCAAAATACATTTTGTGTATGATGTAACTTAAAGTATATAAATGAATTATTACCCGTGTTAAAATTTTATATTTTTGAAATAAGATGAAAGTTACACTTGAGTACAAAATTTGCAAATGAAATTTTTCAAGAATTTCTATTTTACCTCAAATACCCTTCAATATTTGTGTCTTCTCTTTTATATTTCTCACATGCAAGCTCAATATTAATTATAAGGAGCATTTTATATCGATTCTACTCTCTTCGCAGGTCGAATTTCAGGCTCATCAACAGAATGATGTATATATAAGACGTAATTCATTTATGCTTGCAGGCTGTCGCAATCTTTCTATTTACCTATCGAGAATTATAGTTGCATTCAATTACCGTTTCATCATCGTAGGTTTGAATCGTTACAATACAAAGTTTTTCATTGATAAAAATATCCGGACAAAAATATGAGTTACATCAGCCGACCAACATTATTTGCAAATGGTAAGAAAATCCCGTGAGAAAAACGACATTGTTCTTAAATTACGTTAAAGCCGCGCCGCATATTACGATGGTATAATGCATGACTAATTTGCAAAGAAGAAAGAATAGCACGGAAAAAAGCGCTGACACTGTAATTAAGGCCGTTGCAATCCTTTCGATCGTCCCTACACTTTTCCACCTTTCACGACGCATTCCGTTCGCGCGACGAGTTCAGCTCGAAGCTACAGAAGTCCAATTTCGAGAGTTCGACGCAAAGTATCATCCGAAGAAATTGCGTGCGGATCATTTAATCGTAGAATAAACTGCATGCATTGGCTTTTTTTTTCAAATACCAACAGATGTATATTGTATATATAATATTATATACGATAAATATCAAAAATTCAATGGCAAGAAAAATTTCGCAACAGGCTGATGTAATACAGAGTAGTAAGTCTTTTTAGTAATAATATCTTGGTTACTAAGAAAAATGTAAAATCCACAAGTTACGTAGCTACAAGAGACGTGAAGAAAAGTGATATGTCCTTATTAGACAATACTCAGTTTAATATTCATTTTTCGCTCAACATAATCAAGCGTTAAGTCTGTATACCGACGAACATTCGCGCTTAAATCACGCGAGATCGTCGCGTCGCGTGTAGCAAGATTTGCGAGTACCGGACGGACATTGAAATCGCCGCGCGCCTTAAAGGGGTTTGCGATCCGAGACGAACGAAAAAAAAAAAAATTGATGAAAGGAAAAGTTCGGGGAGAACGCGAGACGATTCGCTTCGGCAGAAAACGCCACTGATGGGCGACCGCTCGATTTTACGACCTAGAAAGTGAATTTCAGACGTTCGGGCGACTCGGGCGCCTTCGAGCGTAATCCGCGAATCGCGGAATCGTCGGGCCCAATGATCCGCGCTGAAGGAAGCCGGATAATAAAACAGTGTTTAGAAATCGATGGGCGGATCTCGCTGCCGATCGGCAGATCTCGCTGCCGATCGGCGGCGCGGTTGGGAAATCGGAAGAGCTCGGAAAGTTCGTCGCACTCCGCGCGCACCTCGGATCATTAAGTTTTCAATCGGGGAAGCCGGTGACGTATCGCGGAAATATGCCGGGTATTATCCGCCGCGAGATAAAACGCGAATACCTGGAGCAACGTTTCTCAACTCTTCTTTCAACATTGAGATACAATCCGATACGCAAAACGCCGGAACGTCCGTAAGCGCGTGCAATTAATGTCGTCAATCGAATTATAAGAATGTAATTAAAGTTTGTTTCGAGAATTATCAACGCGTCAATTACGTTTACCTTCCAATTGAAATTCCGCGAAACGCGCGAAGACACATAACGAAGTGTCGCTGCTCTGAAGAAGCGGAAGAGAACTTGGGAGGCTCTACGCTTCTTCGACTCTGAAACCAATTCGCGCCGGGAAAAGAAATCGGTATCCAGCCGTCATTAATATGTAATTATCGCGCCGGCAGAGAGACGCAATCATCATAGCGACGTGAATCCTGGCCGGATCTAAATCGCGAACTTAACGAACTCCGTGATACTCACATACGTATGGTTTTTGAGATGGTAATTGGTATACTGTATCATGCGGTCTCTGAATTATCTAATCCTGTCGCTCGGGAGAATTAAATAAGAACACAAGTGACAATTTATTGATATTAATTTCCGCACGTTATCGTTTTCCTCATTGCGTATTAAACGCCTAAACTCTAGAGGAAATTAACGGGAACATATTTTATATATATATATAACTATATATATATATATATATATATATTCCCGTTAATTTCTTGTAGAGTTTAGGCATTTAATATACATATATAACGTATAATATCTGATCTCGCGAAGATCGCTTTAACGTGGATTGCTACTGACACATCTCGTTAGGTGGCTTTTTTTTCGCGCGACGGTTGGCAAATGACAGCGGGATGTAAGCCAGGCGTTTCTGCTCCGCTTGTTCGACCGTAATGCTTTGTTTGTGGCTGACGCGTCGGGAAACGATATCCGCCGATATGCAGCGTATTCGCGCGGGGCCGGGGCAAAAACTTACGGCGGCGAACGGGTATCATTCCGGCCGGCACTTCTTGGCGAACGGCGCGGCGCGGCGAACGGTGCGAAATCTCTCGAGGTTCTCATCGAACCGCGGAAATGTCTACGGTGAAGAAAGGACCCGCGATATGAGACCGACGCGGCGTGGCGTGGCGCGGCGCGGAATCTCTTCACGGCGTGGAAAAGCCGCGTGCTTCCTGCCGGCGATGATCGGGCAAGAAGAGGCGAGTAAACGAGCGGAGTGCCTGGTAAATCCCACCGCGGGCAATCCCACACGGATGATGATATATCCCCTCGTTTCCTGCGGACGGTCGCTGAAGATCGTACCCCGGGTGAAACGATGTAATCGTCTTCCGCTCCTTTAAGTCAGGTGCAAATTTATCGGCACTTTCTAGCGAGCGCGTTCGCCCGATACGCGCGGCGAGCGCCATGCAGGTAACGCAGGTGCGGGTTCCTCCAGGAGGGATCCGCTTGATCCTCAGGATTAACCCAATCAATTCCTGGTAGCAGGAGCGTAACGCGAGAGAGGTCAAAGGCATAATGGAACGCTAAAGCGTAAGGGGGAATCGTATGACTGTCTATCCGTCTTGCGTGTGCACAAGGTAGATTTATGTGCGAGAGCTTCGTGTGAGGGCAGATCTTATGGACCTCACGTGTCCAGTATCTTTCACGTAGAGAAAAAAGAAGTGCGAAAGCTTGTGTGCGTGAATGCCTCGCGTGTGCCAGGTCTTTACGTGTGAGTGTATATTATCATCACGTGTGTGCGTGCGCAAAGATCTTCGTGTGGACGATTGTGGAAGATTGAATGTGCAACCTCCGCTAAATCATATTGCTAAATTAGAAGGCTTTTACGGCTTAAGTGGCGGATGGATATATTCTGTCTTACAGTCAATCATTGCGCACCTTTATTAAAACTACTTATTTCTATTCTATTACCTTTGCAAATTCTTTCAAATGAAGAAAGGCTGTTTACTACATTGTAGCAAACTTTCTATCTCTTTTCTTTCTTTTTCTCTTACGTCAAATCTAAAATTTAAAAAATATAGACGATTTCTTATATACACACATACACACTTTGTCGAATTATTAAAAATCAGGTCTCTTTGATTTAAACATAAATCTGCAAACGGGTTTAACACTAGAACTAATAAGCAGTCAAAATTTTGTAATTTCTTTTTAAATCTATACATTTTCTGAGCTTTTCCATGATTTTTGTTGCAATTTGTAAATGATTAAATCCATCAATTTAATTTCCTCTCCTTCGTTTGTTAATATTTTTAAGTAGTAAAAATAGATATAATTAATTGTTGGTAATTTTAACTTTCATTTAGGATCCAGTTTCGCCGAGGAAGGCGAACTGGATCGCAACAATTATTAAAAATCGCACGCAGTGTCGTTCGCAAGTTTCTTATATTTCGATTATTAAAGGAAGTGTATTAAAATTACGGATTGCTTTCGTCATTAAAATAATCCCACGCGACACGCGATATCACTATTACAGGCGCGCGCGTTCGGTTTTCTTGAGTTCTACGCGCGCGGAACGCAGTTGAAAATCTCGACCGGTCTTAAAAACGGATTAATCGCTTCCCGGCTCCTCGGGCGCGAGTTTACTGCGCTTTCTAGATCGTGCCGACATCGTCGAAGCGGAAAACAAACAGCACGTCAATTTCGT